TTATATAGTTTGATATAATATTTGATTCTGCGTTATCCGGTGATATATTTAGATACATATTAGCCGTAATTTTCTCGTTTTTTGTCCTCCTGGCGATTTTTTGATCTGAGTGGTTGCGTGCCCTCATCCTGTTAGGCCAATTTTATCTCGTTGATTTTATTGTTCTAACAGTGTCGTCCTCTAGTTCACATAATTAATTCTAGCTAGTCATTTAGCGTTATACTTCGTAACTATCTGTAATAATTCAGCATAACTTCTGTGTCTCTTAATTACACCGATTTGCTCGTATCGATCGTAGTTATTTTTAAAATGACGAAGCAGTCTCCTTGTGGAATTTGCTGCAAGATCGTCGGACATAGAGCTAATGCGATTTCATGCAGTCTCTGCAGCGCAAGGCTTCATATTTCGTGCGTTGGTCTGACTGTAGACCAATTTCGTATAATTCAGGGCATTAAGAGCGAATTTTGAAGACCGTTTGTAAGCAATGCCAAGCTAATCTTGTGCAGAATAAAACGGACACGTCTAACAAGCGGATCAGCACAACGAAGTGCTCTAAAATGCCCAGCTCGCCTTGTGCTTCACCACAGTCAGTGAAGCAGCCAACGCCTAGTACCTCGTCGCATCCATCGCGGAAACAAGGTACTAAAGTTCCATCAGACTCTCCCTCAAGACCTACTATATGTTCAGCTGAAAGTAAAGTTCCAGTTTGCAATAAACAAACTGAGGATAACGATTGGAGAGTACAAACATCGAAGAAACCAAGACCAATATCTAATGACCTGATGCGCCTTAGCCTCATGGTCTTTCACGCACCTGAATCAGGTGATTCCAATCCTCAGGTGCGCTATGAACATGACGTCGATTTTACAATCACTGATGAATAGATTGCTCGATGTAAATGATGGCGGACTCAAAGTGCAGCAGATCACCCGTCTAGGAAAGAGAATGGAGTTCAAATGTCGGCCCATGAGGGTGACATTTGTCGAAGAGGCAAGTCTCTAGTTACTCTTGTCCCGTCTTCATAGACTGAAGGGTCTAAAGATCCACGTGCGCGCTGACCTAGACCCGGCAGACAGAGAGAACCTCAAGTCTGCTATGACTGAACTAATGCGACGCACGGAGGATGGAGAACCAAATCTCATTGTAAATTTTTGGGTAGTTACCCGGATTCCTTCACGAATCCGGATCAACAGGTTGCTAATAATTCAGGCGCGCCCAGCGGGTCCTACCGCGGTCTGCGCGTAGCCTTTACTAACGTATGCAGTTTGATGAACAAGCGCGATGTGCTGTACGACTTCGTAAGCTCTCAGCGACCGGACGTATTAGGCCTTGCTGAGACATGGTTAAACTCCGAGGTAAACGCCCAAGAAGTGGAAATCACCGGCTACTCATGCTTCCGCTGTGATAGACCATCAAATGATCGCGGTGGCGTTCTACTTTACATAAAGTCTTCCTTGTGTGGGAGACTAGTGAGCGCCTATCAAAGCGCTGATGGTCTATGTGAGCAGTTATGGTGTTCGATACACCTCAGACGCTGCGAGTTGCACGTGGGCGTGGTATATCGCAGCCCACTGAGCCGCAGTTTGGACTGGTTGTCGCATGTCCGCAACCACATGAGTCGTCCGATGTTCCTACTCATGGGCGATTTCAACTTACCCCGAATACAGTGGCCCGAAGCTGAAATTTTCCCCGGCCACTGTGAAGTCGAGAGGAAGTTTACGGAGTTGATATTTGAAACTGGGGCCACACAGCACATCAACCAACCGACACGCATTACAGCGCGCGCGACGCCATCATGCTTAGACCTGCTGTTGACTAGCTGTGAGCAGCGTGTACATAACATTCAAGTCTTATAGCCTCTGGGAGCGAGTGACCACTCAGTGATCATAGGCAGTTTAGAACTACCGCTACCGTATCCTCTCCCACTAGAGTCAACCTTCAACTATTGGAAGACGGACTTTAATGGCCTCATTCTAGCAGCGAGCCAGATAGACTGGTCTTTACCACAGGATTCATCTATCGAAACCTGTTGGGCTATCATTAAAGAGGGAGTGAAATCGTTGTGCGCCCGATTTGTGCCCCTCAAATTTCGGAAAGTTGGGCCAGTCAAACCACATTGGTTGGACAAAGAGTACAACAAAATGGCCCGACCGCGACGTAGACTATGGAACACATTCGTGCTATCCGGCTCTGATGAGGACTACAATGCGTACAAGGTACAGCGAAATCGCTGCAACAACGCGAAAACCAGAAAACGCAGAAGCTTCGAAGAGGAGCTTGCAACTGCCGCAAAAACGGCTCCCAGGAGGATCTTCGCATATGTGAAGCGGCGCCTAAGACCTATAGCCAATATCCAAGGGTTAGAAGGCTCAGAAGGACAGCCTCTAACCTCGAATACAGATCGTGCGTCAGCATTGGCAACGCACTTCGCCCCTGTATTCGCAAGTGACCAGGTGTCTGTAATGAGTTCGACGAGCACCGCTCCAACTGAACTTAACAG